ATCCTCTGGGTGCTTGGGAGACTCACACCCATGGCTAACAGCCTGGCTTGGCTGTCCCTGGAAGGGATTCACTGAATGCACAGAGCCCCCAGAGAAACCCTCCCCACTCTCCTCCCCAGACTTCAGATCCCTCTAAAACCCCCAGTGTTTTGCAAGCCCCTCTGTTTATCCTCCCCTCTGCCCTATCAGCTCCTGGGAACTGCTTTCCATTAACCCTTTGCCAACAAAAGGCATCACAACAAGGCTGGGGAGCAGCTTGTGCCTGGGGGTGTGTGTTCTACTGGAGCGTGTCTCAAATTAGCCAATCCTGCTCCTGCCTTCAGAACCAAGCCAGGGAAGTATTTGTTCTGCCAAGCTTTTCAACTCGGTTTAATTTAGCTCTGTGAACTTGTCTCAGGCTCCCTGGAATGTGTCAGGTGGGGTGCATTATAAATATGCATCGTCTGAGCTCATTGTCTTGCTCAGCAGGCAGAAAGAGTCCAGCAAAGTCTCCTTCCACCAGGTCACGGTGACAATCCAGGCTGGGGACAGGCTTGGTTTGGGCTGGCACTGGCTGGGCACAGGGTGTAAATGCTGTGAGCAGGGCAGGATGGAGCACTGAGGTTGCATTAAATCCAGCAAGGCTGGCTGCGGCAGGAGCTCCAAAAGAGAAGGATCTCAATCCCTGCCCAAGGCTGTGAGCCCCTTGGCCAGCCAGCCATGACATAGAGGGGGATTTGCTCACTGTGGGGAGGAGATAAATGGAGAGGGAACCCTGCTTTGGAGCTGGTTATGGGTAAAGCAGGTCTCAGAGCAGAGGTGTTGTGTGTTGTTGTGGTGGTTGGCTGGCAAGGAAAGAGGGATCAGGTTGGATTTAGCAGGGGGCAGGCAGGAGAAGGGTGTGCATCTCTCTTGGAACAAATTAGCTCCACTCAGAGCTGCTGTAAACCAGCCCTGAGAGTGGCCCAGCTTCCAGATTCACCTGGGGGATGCAGCTCAGTGACTCAGCAATGAGATGGGGCTCAGGCTCTCCTTGGAGCAGCTGAATTCAGGGCAGACATGGGCGGACACATATCCATGGCTAGCAGGACAGACATCCATGGCTAACAGGACAGACAGCCATGGCTAACAGGACACACATCCATGGCTAGAATGGGACACACATCCATGGCTAACAGGACACACATCCATGGCTAAAATGGGACACACATCCATGGCTAGCAGCATGCCTCCTTCCCTGGGAGCAGCTGGCAGATTGGAATATGGTTTACCTGGGCTCTGGGGCTGGGGAATTGGCTATCAGCACCTCAGAACTGGGGAACTGGCTATCAGCACCTCAGATTGGTGTCCCTGGCCTGGCTGTGCACAGATCTCCTCTGCTGGTGGCTCCCCTCACGCGGCACCGGTGACTGGGAATGACGTTTTACAGAGAGATAATCATTCCCTCCCTTGCCTGTGCCTGCCTCCCTCTCCAGAAGAGCCGTGGGAGAACAAAGTCATGAACAAAACAGCTCTGAGAGAGACTGGGGGTGGGACGCCCTTCTTTTCTCCTTAATTGTAATACTGTGAATTAATTCAGCTTCCAGCAGGAGCAGGGAGTTTCCCAGCAGCCCTCAGACATCCAGATAAGGCTGAGCTGTTTGTTGAGCCCCTCTGGTACCTGCCTCACTGCCAACTGCTTCACACAAACTTTGTTTTCTTTTTTTTTTTTGCTTTATTTTTTTTAATTTGGTTCTTTTTTTGGAGACTTAAATTGTTCAAGCGTGACAGAGCACGGGGGTTTGCATTCTTAATTGGCAAAGCCTTTTCCCACTCCTGTCTGAAAGCCCCTGAGCTGTCCTGCCAATTTATTCTGATCCTGATTCACAAGCCTTGCAAGCATCTTCCCAGGGCTGCCCCAAAGCCCTGTCGGTGGAACTGAATCCTCATCTGGCACTGCTGGGCATCTCCTGAGGCTCTTCTGGTGTTCTCCCCTTTGACTGGAAATGTCCCTTTTTGCAGCCACCCTGCCCTCCAGAAAAGCCCTGGTGGTGCCCTCCTAACTGTACCAACCGTGACTCTTCCCCAGGGGGAAATAAACAGTGGATAGAGATGAAAAAAATAGGTTTAAAATGGAAAAAAAAAAAAAAATAAAAGAGAAGAGCAAGCATAAAGGAAGGTTTCTCTCTAATTCTCATTTTCCTCCATCCTGGGCACTTTCCTGCTCTCTCAGGACCTTCTTCTCTCATTTATCTTCCTCACCTCCTGGGGTTTCCTCTTCTTGCCAGCAATTAGTTTCCTCTTTTTGCCATCTCCCTGCCTGGACCCCTGCAAAGCCGTGACCAACACCTTGGAGTGGCTCAGATTGTCCCCAGCAAGGAGAGCTGCACGTGTTCATGCAGAGAGCCTGGGAAGGAGAGGGACTCTCATAAACACCCAAATATCTGCAATTCTCCATCATTCTTTCACTCCCCTCCTCCCCTTGCTGCCCTGCATTCACCTCTCCCTCTCCTGCTGTATTTCCCCCACCTCTAAATCTTCTCAGCCCCTTCCTGCCATCACCCAGCCTCACCTGAGCGCCTGGAGATCCATTTTATTTATTTATTTCCTTTCCCTCTTTCTCCTTCCACCCTTTTTTTCCTGATTTACGGCAGCAGCAGGAGGCTGATGTTCCCTGCTCGTTCTCTGCCATCCCCAGAGCCATCAGGGGCCAATCCATCATGGGAATGCCCCAGCCAAAGTGACTGGGACATTCTTTACAGCCACAGTCCCCAGTGCTGGCCTGGAGGGGGGCTCTGTGGTGAGATGTCAGCTGTGAGAGAGCTGTCTGGAGGCACAAATATTATTTACAAAGTGTTGTGGCTTAGGGAGGGGAGGAGAGGAGAGAAGTAGGAGTCCTAGTAAAATATCTGTATTGTATTTGAATATCTGTGTATAGGCCTCGCCCTGAAAAGCCCCGGTTGTTTTTGATGGGCTGCAGCTGTGATGCCCTTAATTGGGCTGCAGCTGTGGCTAGTGAAGATAACTGGGATAAAAGGGGGTGGGCTTGGGTAGTCAGGGAGAGCCTGGGAAGAGCCCTAACTAAGAAGCAGCAACAAGTAGAAGAAGTCTGTGCTGTGAAGAACTGCCCCCAAGAAATATCACCGAGAAGGTACAGGACTCTAGAAATATAATAATAACAAGTGGTGACCCTGACGTGATAGAAGATAGGACAGCTGAGAGCTGTGGCAGCCTGAGAGCTGGGACTCTAGAAATATAATAACAACAGAGAAGAGGCTGCCAGCCGTGGGGTCTGATGGCTCCAGCATCCTGCCACCAAAGAAACACAGCTTGGAGCTCACATTAAGGAGGAGGAGAAGGCAGGGGCAGGGTGGGATGATGTCCCATGGAGTGTCTAAGTGTAGCAGGATAAAAACAGGATTTTGTGGGAATAGGAATGGAGCATTGGCGTCAGAGCAATTCCCAGGGTGAATTCCTCAGCGTGGGGCTGGGAGTGCTTTGTGCATTTTGGGATGGAGCAGGGCAGGGGGGCTCCCAGGGAGATGTTTGCACACCTCAGTTCACTCCTGGATGACAGCAGCAAATCTGAGAGCTGGAGAAGGGAGGGGACATCTGGGAATGCGCTCTTGGAAATGATCCAGCACAGCCCTTTTGAGGCTGCACCTGGCACGGGGGGCTCAGGATGAGCAAGTGCTGCATCCATGGAGGTGGGAGTAAAAAGCAGGATTTTCACCCTGAAAAGTCCTGGATTCGTCATCCTGTGTGGTTTGGGGATGTGTGCAGATGTTTTATAGCCACATACATTTTGTTTTACTGCTTTGCACATGGAAAGTGGGCCTAATTCCAAGGCCTTGGGGATGGGTAGTTTAGGGGAGATTCTGGTCCAAATTGTTGCAGAATAAGATCCATTAGCCCAATGTGGTCTCTCAGAGCAGCCAGTAGCCAGAGCATTAAGAGAAGTACAAAAATTAGATGTGACAGACAAGTCCTACAAAGCCCCTTGTTCCCTCATCCCTGTCTTGCTACCCTCCCCTGAATATCTTTTCCTCCTCCTCCTCCTTCTTCCTCCATCCCAATTATCTCCTCCTTTCATCACTGCCTGAGTTGTAAGTACAAAGTACCAATTAGCTAGTTTTCAAGTTTAATTAGGTTGGAAGGTAGAGCAAATTAAATCCTTTTATCGCAGGTTTCAAAGCGCTTTCCCATCGGGATGGGTTTCCTTTGGATGAGGCCCATGTTTGTCACCAAGGAGCTGGCCCTGGTCACCAAGCAGGGGATGAAACACAAGACTGGGTCTATCTCCCTCCTTCTCCTAAATCCTGCACTCAGGGCATCTTTTTCAGGAATGATTTGGGGTGCACAAACCTCTGCTCCACCTCAATCTATTGAGCATTGCTCCTTAGCTCATTTTAAGAACATTCCAGCAGCACCAGGAATTCAATGAGGGAGCTGGGACAAAGCCCAGCAGAAGGCTTTCAGAATACTTCAACAGTATCAAGCAGCAGGTCCACATGAATGCTTGGAAGCACCTTTATTCCCTAAACCCTTCTTCCTTTGAGCCCTGAACAAAGGCAGGGAAGCGGATCCAGGAATAAACACCTGAAGATGAAACCGCAGACTGAAGTGAAGAAGTGTTTAACTCTTGGAGACACAATTGTAGCCACAATTTCTGCTCCTCTTGAGCTCTGACCAGTGCATTTCAATAGGATCTGGCTCCCTCCATGGACCTGCTGGACGGGGAGGTTCAGGAAAACTTTGGGATTCATCCTCACCTTTGCTCCCTGGTGGTGCCAGCGCCACCCCAACTGCATTTCTGCTGTTCTAACTTTTTCCCCTGCCACATTTTCTCTTCTTCTTGAGCTCTGAATAGTGCATTTCAATAGGATTTGGCTCTTTCCATGGAGCTGCTGGACAGGGACACTCAGGGAAGCTTTGGGATTCATCCTCACCTTTGCTTACAGAATCCCTGGTGGTGCCAGCGCCACCCCAGCTGCATTTCTGCCATTCTAACCCTGTCCCCTGTGCTTTCCTGTGTGTTGCAGACAAGCCACTACCTCAGAGTGCCCCGGGAGGCATCATTGGGATCGTGGGAGGTGTCATCGCTGCCGTTTTAATCATCGGCGTGGCCGTCACCGTCATCATCGTCTACAGGCGGCAGCAGAAAAGCCGCTCCGACACTGACAATGACCTGTGAGTAGCACCAGCAGTGCCCAGCCAGGCTGCAGCTGCCCTGGGCACGGGGAACAGCTCCTCCTGCCCTTCCTCTACCTCCACAAGGGGGAAATTTGGTGGGAAAATGTTTTCCTGCTGGTTCTGTCTTGCTCCTCTGTGGTGCTGTTCACAGGGGTTCAAGGATGAGGGATGAGATGAGGATCTGACTCCATGTTTCAGAAGGCTGATTCTTTATTTTATGATATATATTACATTAAAACAATATTAAAAGAATAGAAGAAATTATTTCATCAGAAGGCTGGCTAAGAATAGAATAGCAAAGAATGATAACAAAAGCTTGTGTCTTGGACAGAGAGTCTGAGCCAGCTGACTGTGATTGGCCATTAATTAGAAACAACCACATGAGACCAATCACAGATGCACTTGTTGCATTCCACAGCAGCAGATAACCATTGTTTACATTTTGTTCCTGAGGCCTCCCGGCTTCTCAGGAGAAAAAATCCTAAGGAAAGGATTTTCATAAAAAGATGTCTGCGACACCTAAGCATCTCTGGATGCATCCCAAAGAGTCTGGGAAAGGTTCACATCCCCCAGCAATGCAGTTTGGGACCTATGGGTGACATAAACTCTGCCAAGAGCAGGGACAGAGGCCACCACAGGGGCTCCTCTTTGGAGCTGGGTTTTGCTCTGCCCACACAGGGCAGCAGAGATCCCAGGCAGGGAATGGAGTGGTGTGGAGGTCACTTTGTGCAGCAGGAACCTCTCCAGCAGCTTTCAGCCTGGGCTCTACTGAACAGCCCTATCCTGCACCAGCTCTTCATCCCCTCCTTCCCTCCCTCCCTTCCCAGGGAGAGCAAGGGAAGCACGCAAAGCCCAGCACCCAGAGGTTGCTTTTATGCTCCCCCAGCCCCCACCTCACTGTTGTTCCACCTTGGGCACATTTTGTGCTCCATTTAATCCCATTTGAGAAAGGGCACTGGAGGATAGCAGGAGAGGCAGGGGAGAGGAGCGGGGGAAGTGGCAGGAGAGGCAGAGAGGCACACAAACAACAAAAACCAGCACCACAAGGTGAAATTGCATCAACAGCAGCGGGCCTGTGATCGAGATGCATTCTGACAATCCACTTCCCACAATGGCCCTCCACCAGGCTCAGGGAAGAGCCACTTTAGCTGAGAATAGAAACACAACCGTGCCTGGCTCTGCCGAGGTGCTGCCTCTATTGTGAAGGCTGATCCTGAAGGTAATGGCGTTTCTTTTGTGCAGAGCCACGAAGTCAATGTTTTACAGAGCCCCGGGGACCTGCTCTGCCCTCCCTGCCACCAGCACATTCCAGTCCCACGCTGGCATCCAAGGGAAGGCGCCCATCTCCATCGGATCTGGTGGAGTCTGCACGGAGAGGAGCGAGGGGGGCAGCCAGCTAATTAGTGGATCAGAGTTTTAATAAGTTTTGTAAAAGGATTAGACACATCTGTGCATGTGAACGGAATGTGCAGAGACAGTCTCCAGGCTGGGATTATCGTGGCTGCCAATCCCTGTGCTCTGGGGTAGGAGCTGATCCTTGGTGAGGATCGGGGATAAATGTCCCTGCCTGGCAGGGCAGGCCCATGAGGAGGCTTCAAACTCCTCCTGGGGAGCTGTGGCTGCAAACAGGGCTGTTTATTGCAGACAGAAACCATTCCCAGAGAGATGCCAGGCTGGGGTTGGTATTACCTTGTTGGTTATCACTTTCTGGTACCTCACAGCCATGACACAAACACCTCCCAGGGGTGGAGAGATGAGGATCTGGCTCCATGTTTCAGAAGGTTTGATTTATTATTTTATGATATATATTACATTAAAACTAAACTAAAAGAATAGAAGAAAGGACTTCATCAGAAGGCTGGCTAAGAATAGAATAGCAAAGAATGATAACAAAGGTTTGTGGCTGGGACAGAGAGTCTGAGCCAGCTGACTGTGATTGGCCATTAATTACAAACAACCACATGAGACCAATCACAGATGCACTTGTTGCATTCCCCAGCAGCAGATAATCAATGTTTCCATTTTGTTCCTGAGGCCTTTCAGCTTCCCAGGAGGAAAAAATCCTAAGGAAAGGATTTTCCATAAAAGATGTCTGTGACAATTACCTTGTTATCACTTTCTGGTACCTCACAGCTGTGACACAAACACCTCCCAAGGGATTTGCAGTCACTCCTGAGCAGGTATCCCAGCTGCAACCTCAGGATCTGCACTCTGACACTGGGATTTGCCTGGAATAAGGATGCAATGCTAGGAGGGAGTTTATTTTCCATTAACAATTCTAATTGGGGTGAGGCAAAGGGCACGGGGGAGTTCCAGAGGATAATCTGTGTGATTGTATTGGCAGTTTGGTGACAAACACAATCAAACCCTTGGGTACATCAAAGCAGCAGAACCTTTTCTCCTGCTTTCTGCTCAGCAGCCTCCTCTTTCCCTGCAGGATTGACCTCCCTCCATCCCACAAACCTGCCCCTCCACCAAAGAGGAAACAGGACATGAAAAGCCACCTGACTCCAGAAGACATCCAGGTAAAAACCTGCAAATTCCTGCCTCTGGCACGGAAAACTGATCCCAAGCAGGGTCCACAGGGCCTGGATTTGGGGAAATGGGGATTGCAAGAGCAAAGATGTTCCTGGATTGAGTTTGAGGGGCAGAAAGTGAGGATTTTTCAAGGCCGGGTTGGTTGGGGCTCTGAGAAACTTAGTCTAGTGGGAGGTTTGAACTAAATTATCTTTAAGGTCCCTTCCAACCCAAACTGTTCTATGATCTATGATTCTGTGACTTGTCCCCCAGAATTCCCAGAGTCTAGCTTTAATTAAAAGATATAATTTGGGTTCTGCTCTGCCCCTTTGATGGATATTGAAGTCTGAAGGAGTTGGTGTTTGGTTGTGGTGCCACCTGAAGCAGAGTTTGCCCCAAGCTGTGCCACAGGATAATTATCCCTTCTCTTCTCATCCCTCTCCTGTCCCTTTTACTTCAGGTTGTTCACTTGGACAACATGAAACACGAGGAGGAGATCCAGAAGTTCCCTCTGCAGACTCCCTACTACGACATGGCAGCCCCCGAGCCCTCTCCCTACAGTGACAAGCTGGTAAGGAGCACAGGGTGACAGTGGCACTGCCTGGCACCTAGGCCCCTGAAACAGCAAAATCCACAGCCTGGGATTATCCCATCCTGGAGGAAAGCAGCCTCCACACTGATCTCAGCTCTAACTCAGCTGCCCGTAGGTCCCACAAATGTGCTTTTATGGGTAAAATGCCCTGCCCACCCCAAATTCTGTACCTGCCACCCCTGGGCACTGCTCAGCTCCTGCAGGGAGCCCCTGTTGGGGTTTGCAGCTGAGGCAAGCAGCAGTGAGAGCTTCACAAAGCAATTATCTGCAGGGCAGAGCGTGCCAGCGTTTGACTCTCACTTGACAACAACAAGTTATTTAAACCTTTTTTTCTTTTTTTTTTTTTTTTTTTTCCTCTGGAGTGTGGATTTGTTCAGCCTCAAATGGAGAGATGTTAATGTGAGGCAGCAGCAGCAGGGAGAGATTAAGGGTCAGGAGGAGATGCTGGCAGTCACATGGGAAAGGCTGGTTTGCAAGGAGTGAGGAAATGTTAGATGTGAGGGTGTAGGGAACAGGAAACAGGTAAGGTTAGAGTGAGTTTTTGATGAGAAAACACAAAGCTATCCCACTCCGAGGCCCTGAACAGCATCCTTTCCCTCCCTCACCCCATGGCATGGGGATGTTTTGCTTTTTTATCCATAGCAGACAAATTATCCCAACGTAAATCCTTCAGGTCTGTCCCAAACTCCTCCCCACAAGGAATTCAGAGCACTGCACACCCAGCCTGGTGCTTCAGCAGAGTGAAATCCTGCCTGGAGAAAGGGGTAGAAATATCAGTAATTTTTTATGAACACCACTAATTACAGCCCAGTTCATCCTGGTGTGGCCCTGCCATGTGCAGACAATACAAGGACAGGGCTCGGTGACCTTTAGCTGGCACAAGTCTGAAGCCAGGCAGATGCCAAGGGCGCTGGAAATCAAAAGCCACAGTTCTGTGCTGATCCTGTTTACTTCATCCCTAAAGGAAAACTTCCCCTTGGAGCCCTCCCTCAGCCCTGGGGCTGCTCCCCAGCTCTTTCTGCTCCTTGCTGAGTTTTAAATGAAACACAGGACACTGGAGCGAGACCGCGGCTCGGAAAGCGTCTGAAAGCTGAATTTCAGGCAAGCAGGAGGATGGAGGAGCTCATTTCGGGAAATAACGAGCAGTCAGTTAATTAAGTGGCAGAGTTAGTGATGTGAGATGGGGCCTGATGGGTTGCTGCTCTGTAACCATGGCAACAGAGTTTGCTGCTCTCAGTGCTGGCCGGAGAAGATGCATTTCCATGTCCCACACCTGGCACCGGCTTCTCCTCGCCCGTGGAGCTCTCCCTTCCCTTGGCCCACCAAGAACTGGCTCTGCAGCAAGCACGGGGCGTCTGGGGGGCTCCAGCTCTTGGCAGGGGGCTGGCACAGCTGTGGCAGCCCCTGGCAGTGCCACCAGGCTCGCCCAGCACGTACCTGCGCCGTGCTCTGGCTCCCTGCCCCAGCAGCAGGATGCAGCCTGCTCCCACCCCTTGCTCAATAATGGCTGCATCCTCTGGGCAGGCAGCTGGCTGATGGAGGTTGGGGCTGGCAAGGGACGCCTGGGTGTCCTTGGCTGCCAAGGAGTGCTGATTTTGCTGGATTCTGCCCAGATCTCACAGGCAGGACGTGCTGCCTCAGCCAGGCCAGGGCTGGGTTGTGCTGTCCGGCCACGCTTTGCGAAGGAACAAGCTTTGCCTTCCTCCCTGTGGGGGAAAAAAGGGACTTGCATCACTTTTTTCACCCTTAAAGCACTGCAGAAGGCTCCTTTTCATGTCTCAGTGGGATTCTGAGGAGTGGGAAGCCCCAGGGAACAGCAGTGGTGTCCAAAACCACCATGGGATGGAGCAATTCCTGCCCAATCCTTCACCTGAGGGCTGGCTCAGCTGGAGGATGAGGAGGGAAGCACATCCCTGGTCCCTGCCAGGCTCACTTTGGCACAGCCCTGCTCCCACCTGCTCCAAATGCAGATGCAGTGGTTGCTCTGTGGTTCTGGGATCCCTGAGAGCGAGAGGCACTGCAGAAAGGCAGGATATTCTTGTTCTGCCTGTACCTCATCTGCAGATTTGGCTTGGGAGGGGAGTGAAGGAGATGAGAGTGGAAGGGAGCAGATCCTGCAGGAAAATGGGGCGGGTGCATTCAGCTTTGAATGAATTGTGCAAAACCTCGTAATTTGGGATAAACCAGATTTATCATGAAAGGCACCGCCTGGGGTTGACGATTTCACAGCGCTAGAATGGGAGTCAGGGAGTGATTAGAGATGGCAAAGAGTGAGGGAGGGGAGAATGGGAGAAGTGCCAGGAGAGAATAAAAGAGGCAGGTGGAGGAGGAAGCTCCAAGAGGGTGTGCAGGGCCGAGCGTGTGGACGTGTGCTGGCAGGGGACCAGGACACAGGGAGAGGCTGGGGCACGTCTGCAGGCTCAGGATACCTGCAGGAGGGAGCAGAGCTATGGCTGAACCTCTGTTTTTAGGGTTCCAGGCTGTGGGGAAGCCAACAGAGAGCTGACAGCCCCAAAATGCCCAAGGAGAGCGGTGTGGGTGCTTGAGGCTGCAGGGGTGGGTGTGGGGGCTGCCTGCAGTGCTTTTCTCTGAGCACTTTTGGGGTGACAGTGAGGATATCACCCCAAATCACAGTGAGGAGTGTGATTCAGGTGTTCCAGGTGTGTGGGTGAAGGCAGGTGAGCTCTGCCAGTGCTTTTGTGCCAGGTGGATGCTCCGTGTGCGTGTGAGAGGCAGCAGGAGCCTGAGAGGGGTAGAGGCAGTGCAGGAGCAGAGCTGTGATTAGTGTCCGTGTCAGCAGGGCCCATTTGCACGGGTAGAAGGGGAAGTTTCATTGCTGCAGACAGCCAAATAATTTCTCAGGGTTTGCAGGGCAATTACCGGGGTGCCGATGGTGATGATTTACACCCAGCGCTTGCGTGAGGCACTGCTGGGCCTTGTATACAAGGTGCATTATTGATATTGTAATAAATTCTGCTCCAAACAGGCAGAAAAGTGCAGGAGCGAGCCCAGGAGTGGGAGAAAGGAAGGGAGATCCATGGAGAAAACACCTCCTAGGAGAAGGAAGCAGAGAGGAGTGAGGCAAAGTAGGCAGGATAGGAATGAGGAGGTAAAATTTAGTCTGGCTTCCTCCAGGAGTAAGGGAGGTGCTGAGACACAAAATTCAGAGGGAAAGAGCTCTGCAAGGCCTACATTTAGGTCTGAGACTGGAGTTGGCATTGCTAATTTTCCTAAATGTCCAAACTCCGGGTCCAGACACGAAGCAGAGGCTCCACAGGATGTGCAGCTTTGATGCCAACAACTCGCCACTGCCATCTGGCCACCAAGGGCAGGACAGAGGTGACCTCCAGCCCTCTGCTCCTGCAGCCCCAGCTTTGCTGAGCGCTGGAAATGCTGCTGCAGCCCCGTTCCCCTCCATTCTTCTCATCCCCATGGCTGAGGGGCAGAGCAGGGAGCCAGGCCCTGGCACAGGCCGAGATAATCACAGAGTGAACAGCCCCTTCCAGCAACAGGCACTCAACCAGCTCATTACAGGGCTATAAACTCCTAAAAATGGCTCAGCCACAGCTGCTCAGTGGCTGAGGACACTTCCAAACGGAGAGGAGAGGAACACTTTCAAATTAAACACCTTTTGCGCCACTGCCATGCGGTGCAGCCATTTTGGAAAGGGGAGAGAGAGACTGGGAAGCTGTTTTGTTTGGAAGAGACACCTGTCTCCTCTCAGAGAGGCTCAGCAGATGCCTGGCTAATGCTGGCACTGAAACCAGCCCCAAAAGGGAGGATTAAAGAAACTCCATGGGGCAAGAAGCCAGGATCCCCCCTCACACCATGGCTGCTGGCACCAAGGCTGCTCCTGGTGATCCTTTTTCCCCCCTGAGCCACAAGCTCTGGGCTATCCTGCCTCCCAGCCTTCTCCTGTTATTATTATCTGCAGGAAAGATGCCTGGCTAGGAATGATCAGACAAATTGGATAATATTCCATTCATGCAGTCCTTGCTGATAAGCCTGCTTAGTGAAGGAATACCCATAAATATTTCCATGCCAAAGGAGGATGCTTTGAGCATCTCTTAGACCATGTTAGGATGACAAACTCGTGCTGCAGAGGTGATCTGCAGTGCCAAGCTGTGCAGCCAAGCCTTGTGTTAAGCAAGGCTCCTCAGCACTCCACGTTTTCCACACTGGGGCAGAACAACACTGATATTCCCCTGTGGCCATGCCTTTGGAGTTTGGGCTTTAAAGCCATTCCCTCTGGGTAGCTCCTTCCCAAAACCCCAAATTTCAAACCAAGGAATTTCAGTCATGTTCCTTAAACCTGAGTTTGCAGTAAATCCCAAACTCTGGGGTTAAAACAGCTCAGGTGCATTGTAAGGTTTGGACTCACTGACCCAGCCCCAGCTAAGGACAATGCTGGTGCCAGGGGCGTTCAGTGGAAGATCAGAGCAGTGAGAAGGTGCTGGGAGCAGCCCCAGGGAAAGGGGCAGTGGCTGGGAGTGCTGCCAGCCAGGGCTGGGTCACTCAGCTCTGCTTTTGGGGGAGCAGCACCTTGGTGACTTTTGCTTTGATTTGGGATTTTACCTGACTGATTATTCATTACCTCCCTACCTCCTTCTTTTTAACTGTTTTTTCTTACTCCCCCCCTGTTTTCTTACTCCTCCCCTCCCTCCTCACCCTTTTTCTTCTTTCTTCCCCCTTCACCCCTCTCCGTGTCCTGTCTCACCCCTCACCATCTGCACGGCCCCTCTGCCCTCACTCCCCTCCTGCCCCCCACTCCTCCCTCGTGTCCCCCCCCACTGCCTTGCTGCTCTCTTCTCTCCAGAACCCTGGCAACAAGGACTGTGATGTCCAGTATGCAGAGCTGGACACGTCGGCTCTGGCTGTGTCACCCAGCCCTCGGAGCTCCATCCATGCAGGAGGAGACCTAGTCGAGTATGCAACCATCCAGCCCAACCTTCGCTAGCGCATGTCACTCTAGGCCCTTT